ATTATCTCTAGAGGGTGTGAGGGGGAAGTATTGCCCACGCAGTATCCCAGAAGTCATGAAACTGGTGTTTTATTACACTCAATGTAGTCATTAAAGATGAACTTATTTCCAAGTCCATCAGAAGCAGAAGAGAAAATGATTCAGGCAGCCGACTACAAAGCTTTGCTGGGTTTCTCTGCCCATTGTTTTCCTGTTTCTGAGTTGTTTTTTTTTTTTTTTTTTTTTTGATCCAGGTTTGAATTCATAGAGGGAACTTCTGTTGCTGAAATTTGGCAACTATTTTGAGTGAAAGATAGGTATAAAAATCTCATTTTCTGATAAAATGACAACAACAGTTGGGCATGGTGGCTCTTGCCTATAATCCCAGCCTCTTGGGAGGCCAGCCTTGGACCCCATCTCACAATAAAAATAAAAAGAGCTGGGGATGTAGTTTAGTGGTAGAGCACACCAGAGTTCAATTCCCAGTACCAGAAAAACAAACAAACAAAACCCTAACCTTTGATGTTTTTATTACTAGTCAAAGCAATTTTCATGCAATAATTAATTTAATGATCACACAATCCTAGACAGTAAGTCCTAGTCTCCTGTTCTAATGGGGAAGAAACCTGAGTGTCCATCCAGGGATGATACCATACAGGCCAGTGAGGGAGACAGGAGGGTCACTGGAACAGGGTGTTCTTACTCTATTTCTATTTTTACTGTGCACCATGAAAGATGTCAGAAGGCTCTGAGACCATAGGATTCTTGGAAAACTGGAGGGGGGTGTTCCCGGGTGGGGGCTTTCTGAGTTCTGGCTTCCATTCCTCACACAGAAACTAATAATTTGAGATAATGCCTGTATTCCAGATGACACAGGGAGTGCATAGATGGTGAGTGAGGATCAGGCAGAACATGCCAGAAATTCACTGGACAGTCATAGGAAGCTTTAGAGGGATCTTTACCTGAGAGGTAAATGGGGAAAAAAAATGGTGATGTGGGGTGAGGGAGCCTGAAGAGATCTTGATGTCTCCTCCTCAGAGTGACCCTGAGATCACCTATGCAGAGATTTGTTTCATTTTATTTTTAGTGAATTATTGACAATAAAAAAATTGGAAGATGTTTCATAAAAATCTGAATTTCTGGCCTCTCTTTTAAAAAATGAGAAGATCTGGTAAGACTGCCTGGTATCTGACAGCTGTTGACAGAAGCTAACTGTTGGCAGCTGCCTCCTCTGTCAGGGTCCCCTCCCACTCAGAAGTCTGCCTACAACCTCGGGCCCATTTGGGGCAGAACACTTCAGGAGTTCCGTCCTTCCTGTCCTCCAGCTCGGAGCTCTTTGGATCATGTCATCCTTTTCTGGCCCTTTATGGAAAGGTTAGCACCACTGGAGGATTCTAGACTCGATTTTGAACTTTCTTTGCTGCCTCTCATGAATGCTGCCTATTTCTGACCTGTGTGGGGTTGGAGTTGAGTGGCTCTTCTAGGCATGCTCATTCAGCTCTTTCGTTTCTTTTGAATGTGACTGTTTTCTACTAGCAAAGGTACTGGAGGGCAGTGGGGCTCTGGAGTGATCCAGATGGAAGTGGAAGTCCAGCCTCTTCCATTTACTAGCCATGTGTACTTGGGCAATTTATATAACCTCCTCCTCAGAGGGTGGAGGTGAGACTGAAGGAGGGAGTTCAGACAGGTTAGCACCTGACATTGGAAGCTACTGTTCTTTATTAAAGACTCTAAATATTATTATTTCATGACTGATTTGGGGGGCTCTTATCACACATTAGTGATACAAAAATGAGGACTGTCTCTTTAATAATAAATTTATTGTATATATTCAATGCCTACCACCTGATGTTATAGAGTACATATAGACAGTAAAGCAGTTTCTGTAGTCAAACAAGTCAACCATTGTAGATACTCTTGTTGCAAAATTTAAAAAAAAGGGGGGGGTCTGAAATGATGGATGGGTTGTCTTTTGAGGCAGTTCTGAATGGGTCTGTCCGTATTGCCAGCAGCAGTGTGACTCTATGCAAGTTACTTAATATCTGAGAACCTCACCTTACTTATTCATTAAAAGGACATAACCCTGTCCACGTCATAGAGTTATTAGGAAAATTGAATGAAGTAATTTAAATGAAATCCCAGAAGCCACTGGGGCTTAATATAAAGTAATTATACATTAAAATAGTGTTTAAAATTTTTTTGTTTTTCCTTTGAGAATCCTCAACAGATTAGACTAATGGTTGGAGCTGGGGCCAGGCCAGGAAGTAAGCCTATATGGCCTTCTTCTTTTCTCTCTCCCTGAGACCTAAGCAGACCCCACCGACATTTGTGGGGCCCACTCTTGCGAGTGTCAGAGAAGGCTATCCACCATATGTCTAAATATTTAAAAGTGATGAATCAGGCTAACATGTTCCATTCTCCAATTTCCCTTCATGATGAACTAGAAGGCCAAGTTTGCATTTGGGATTCTTGGAGTCCTTGGACTTCTATGTCAAAATGTGACTGACTAGAAGTGTGGGACCCTGGGCCCTTTTCTTCCCCCTGGCTCCGCCCCACAGAGAGGGGCCTGTTGCTTGTGTAAAGACACCCCAGCCTCCCAGCCCTGCATCCTGTGAGGAAAGGCGCAGATGAAGAAAACCACACAGAGGCAGAACCCTTTAAAGGGTGGGCCCCAGATTAAGGACCCATCCTGACTGTGTCTACGACCCATACTGTTCTTATGAAACCCCACTGACCCACTGAGCACTCTATCAGGACTGCTGCTGATACCCACAGGAGCAGATAACTTCTGCAGCCTTTTAGATCTGTCCTCCAGTCCAGTGGTTCTCCCAGTGCCCCTTCAATATCTCCAAAGTTCCCAGTTCCTAATCCTGGTGTTAGAAGTGAAGAGCTTGTACCTTCCTAGTATTTGACTCTCTGAGGGGAGCTCCAACCAATTCTTCCTGTTGATCACTGAGGCTGTTAAGCAGGGAGCAGTTGAAACCAGTAGCCAAGGGCATATCCAAACTCTGAGCACTGCTTTTTGCCAATTGGGAGTCACTGTTTCTTATACAGACTCTTACTCTTGCCCAGGTCTCTGCATTGCCTGGCTTCCTGAAGCCCAGTCTCTTCTTGGTCTGTGCAGAGATGAGAAGATGAATGTGAACCAAGGACTCAGCTGTTCTATATGGGGACCTTCCCTCAGCCACCCTGTTGTCACTTGCCTTCTGCGGCCCAGGCACTTGCAAATTCTGAATGACTTGGGGCTCCTTCACACATGTTGGCACACTTTTCGAGAATATTCCCTCTGTGGAAGTTTAGGCTTTGGCTGTCAGGAAACCCTACTTCATCTATTTCTCATCTATAAAATCATTGAAATGATTCAGCTTCCAGCCACAGTAGACCAGTTCATAGGAAAACCCTAATTTTCCAGATAGCAGTTATTTTTATCTGCTGCCCTTGTGACTTGTATGTGTTCGAGTTCAGCAAACATTTATTAAGCACCTACTGCTTACCATGCAGCATTCAGCACTTCCACCCACTTGATCTCCTTTAGTTCTTAATCAACCATAGAGGTGGGTATTACTATTACTTTACAGATATGGAGTCCAGGAGTCCAGATGTGGAGACTGACTTAAAGGCTGAATAGTCAGAGCCAAGAATTGATCCCAGTCTCTCAACYCCAGTAGAAGCTGGCTTACTCATTTTAGAAATGTGGTTCGTGCTTTGTTTTTGTTCTGTTTTTCTCTTATTAAAGTCCTCCCTGTTTTTGAACTTGCTCAACATAGTAAAAAATAGACAAAATGGATAGATGAAATTCTTACTAACCTACTCTCCTTAATGAAGAGTAGTGAGGTAAACCCATTCACCGTCCTTACTGATATGGAAGTATTTGAGCATTGGTTTTTAATTATGTTCTCATTAGTATATTTCTGTCCATGTATAAGTCCTTAAATTTGAAAAGACCCTTTGTCTTCTACATTAACTTTGTCCACAATACAAAGAAGGGGTTTTGAATGTTAGATAAATAGCAGATCCTGTATTTGAGAGCCTCTTGGGTCTAGTTTTAATAAGGACCTTTCAGACCCATGTGTGTCCAGAGGAGAGCAYTGAAAGGCCATAAGACGTGGCTCAGAGTGGGTCTCTGTCCCTTTTCTGTTGCTATAACAAATAAAGCAAGAGGTTTATTTGACTCACAGTTTKGGAAGTTCAAGGTTGGATGGCCCCACCTGTTCAGCCTCTGGTGAGAGACTCTGCCTACATGACGAGATGGGGCTGTCAGCATGTCACCATGGGGTGGGAGAGTACGTGCAAGAGGAGATCCCTTGATGAGTCAGGAATCAAGAGGCTGGGGAGGGCCCAGGCCCTCCTTTTTATAACAACTMGTTCTTAAGGGAACTAAAACTTCTGCAAGACTTAAACCACTCTGTAAGACCAACATTAATCCATTCTTGATGGTGAAGCCCCCCTGACCTAACGACCTTCCTTTAAGGCCCCACCACCTCAGCACTGTCACACCAGGTGTTCTTTGGGGGACGTACTCAACCCACACGCAAACCAAAGCAGGGTGATTGAAAATCTTGGTCATGTTTTTCAGAGAGGAGAGAAAACAAGGGCAGATGAGGTGTGGGTTTCAAATACCTAAGGCACTCTTTATGGAAGAAGGAAGAACCTCACCTTCCATATGGCTCCTAGGAGCAGACTTAGCCCTAGTAGTTCAAGTTACAGAAGGATGAATTCTGACTGTGAGTCATCATCTCACTATTGGAACTGTCTCAGAAGGCCTGAGGCCCCTTTCTCTAGAAGCATTTAAGTGGCAGCTCTTGACTTTGGAAGAGTGGTTATGGGAGGGGACACAAAATCCTACTTAGAATTTAATCCTATGACTTTTAGGTCTTCAGTTTTGGAATTTGATAGGAACCTAACATAGCTCTTTGGTCTTGTCAGTTTTCATGGCAGAGCCTGTAAGAATTTTTTTTTTAAGTGTTTTCAAACTATTCTTCCAAAATCCATTTCTGAATTGTGCATCCTTTCACTTGTAGGAGAAAATGCAGAAGTTTCCATGGATGTGTCCCTGGCATACCGCGATGACATGTTTGCTGAATGGACTGAAATGGCCCATGAGAGAGTGCCGCGGAAACTCAAATGTACCTTCACCTCCCCCAAGGTAAGACACCTTGATGTCTAAGTTGATGGAGTTTCTTTCTCTTCAGTCTCCAAGTATAGGGAAATATTTGCTTACACGACACAGATGTGTCCATCATTTTTTTTAGCAAGCTTGAGCCACAAAGGTTAACCGTTAGTCTTTTTTTCTTTTAGAGAGAAGGGCAATGTAGATATTTCATGTCCTTACAAAGGCTTTAGTTGTTTCCCAGAAATACTTCCATAAAACAACTGGTTCTTTGGAACATAGCTGAAAGGGTTTGAAGAATGTGGCTCAATTATTTCAGGGGGTGAGATTCTGTTCATATTGCAACAGTACTGGTGTCTGCCACATAGTTTTTTTATGCACCTGTGTGCCACCACAGCTAATGTGCAGGTATGAAGATCAACAGTCCCATAGGACACCACAGACAAAGGACCCAAGGGGGTAAATTCAGTTTCATTAAGAACTCCTGGTCATCTGACCCTTCTTTAGGAATCCCCCTTCTCTAGTGCTTCCAGAAAAATCCAACCACTCATGGAAAGAAATTATTGTCCTACATGGAGAGTAGGGAGACCTTTTCTTGTGGACAAAGATTTTAGATTCCTTATCAGGTATTGAGTCAGTAAGCACCAAAGGACAGTGGGACTCAATGGTTTAAGGACCAAAGTAGAATTAGCTGGGGACCTTTTCAAATGTCAAGTGCTGCCCTGGGGTCTCCTCCTCCCCCACCCTCTCACTTTTGAAAGTCTCCACAAAGAGTTACCCTTACTCTTATTCCTCAAGGGCATCAACAGCTCAGTGAGCTCTGATGTCTCCTCAGRTGAACAATGTTGACCTTTTCTTTGTGCATGAAGCACAGCAGAGACCAAACTTGGCACTGAAGCACATTCTTGGTTATGTCTTTTCTCACTTGAAATCTTCAAATCAGCTGCTCCTRAAAGACTTGGATAGCTTTATAAATACCTCCTCCACTTTTAATCTTTTAATCCTTCTCCTTTCCTAACAGTGGCCTTTCCTAACTTTGCTTTTTACAAAGTCTTCCTCCTCCAAGCTTCATAGACTAGAACTACACACAGTGCCAATTGAGTACCAATAGTATCCATATCAAGTGCAAGCCTGTCAGAAATGTAGATTCCCAGGCCACACATCAAAACTACTGTTTGAGGGCATTTTCTGCTAATAGCAGAGCATAACACAGACTGGGTAAATTATGAACAAGAGGAGTTTATTTGACTCACAGTTCTGGAGGCTGGGAAGTCCATGGGCATGGCACAGATGTCTGGCAAAGTCTTTTGTGCTGCACCAAAATGTGGCAGAAAACAGGTAAGCATATGTGAGATACAGAGAGGGGGTAAAATGGGCCCAAAACAAGAGGATCAACCTAATACCTAACCCATTCCCACAATTGACCCATGCATGAGGATAGAGCCCTGTAGACCTAATTACCTCCCAAACATCCTCCAACAATTAAATTTCAGCTTGAGTGTTAGAAGGGTCAGTCAGACCATGGCATCTTCTGAACCAAAATCTCAGGTGATAGGACCAAGGGCTCTGMTAAACACTAAATATGGAGATCCCCCCCCCACAAAAAAACAGCCATCTGGAATTGTTCTGAAAAGGCCCTGGGGGCAATTGATAGGTAAAAGATGATGAAAGACAACCCAGAGGAAGCTAGCAAGAGGAATAGCTAAAATTTTTGGATCTTTGTATGCAATGGAGGAAATTAATTAAAACCTTTCTCACTGTCCTTGCAAGTTGATTGCATCTTTCCGAGGAGAGACAGGCTGAATATAAGCCAGAGGGCTTTGGATATGGAATTTCATCCTCAGAAAAGGGAAATGTCATTTCTCACTTTCCTTACACACTGGGAGGGGGGAGGGGTGTTTCCCTGCTACCGCTTCTTAATGACAGTTGCTTAATTATCTTTAGGCTGTGTTGATCCCTTTCGAGAAAGATATTAAACCTTGAAAGGTGTGAAGGAAATGAATCATCAAATCCATGCTTTTTGATTGCAGTGAAATTTAGTCTTGAGTCTGAAGATTAAATGAGAAATTGCTTGAAAGCTTTTCAGTCCCTTGTGGATTGTGAAGTTTAAAAAAAAAAAAAGAGTCAAGTTTCCACCTGCTGTAATTTGTCCTAATTAGCCAGTCTCATGCTGGAGCTAGGGGAGAACTGAAGGGGTAGAGGAAGGAGAGGGAGAGGGAGAAAGAGGAATCTTTTTTTTCTTAAATGCCCTAAATACTGGCAGAAACAGAACTTCAGTGTGGAAAGAAAAGCCCTAACAGGACACAGTGAATCTGTCTCCAATATAGGTAGGCAGACCAGCTCCCAGAAGCCCAGATGTTATGGTCTGACTGAACTTGAGTAAATTTGTCTCATGGGTGGTAATGTTGCCCTCTCTGTGTTAACAGGGAATTACTGATACCCAGAGACCCTTAGCAGGGAATCAGTGACCCCAGGGATCATCTTATTTGAATTTCTTGCTTTACCTGGAGAAAAGTGAGGCCAAATGAGGTGGAGTGTCCCAGGGTACCCAGCCAGGGATAAGGTCGGGACTAGAATGGGAGCCCCCTGGCCTACAGCTTAGCACTGTCCCCATCAGAGCACAGTACCTGCATTTGGGTCTCACCAAGGCAGGCATTTTTTTTTTCTTTCTGCCACATTCAAGTGTCTTCCCCATCAGAACCAGAGGCGGCAACATGGCGTGACTGGGCTTGAAAGCCCTGGGTCCTCCGCCCAATGGAGACTATGGGCAAGACACACATCAAATGGTATCATACTACATATGTTTTGTTACCTTCCTCCTCAAATTCTTAATTTCTATAAATAAAATAAGACCCTGACTGGAGACACATCAGAAAACTGTCCTCTTGCTGTTACCACAGAGGGTAATCAGCTTCCTTAATGCAGCTTAATCTAAGGCTGAATTAGAGCCCATAATGTATTTTTAGTAGTTCCAACAGAGCCCTAATTCTTGCCTGATTTGTAAGCCTTAGAAGGGAGGGAAATACCATCTATGTAGAGAGAATTATCCAACCTACATCCAAAGTTTGAAATAGAAGCAAAATTCTTTCCACAGAACTTAGTTATTGTATTTTTTTTCCTTAATCTCATCTGTCAACTTAAATCAATTGATAGTGTCTAATAAGAGTCCCCCACACCTTAGAAGTTTGATTATCATGAATGATTAGTGATGTCTGCATTGGGTGGAGAAGGGAAGAAGAAGCATTTAAAACAGGTATTTGCCTGCTGTCCCTCCACATGGGCCAAGAGTGGCCTGTGTCCCTGCCTGTTTCTTGTGCTCTAAGTTCTGACTGTCTGGTGAGGAACCCATCAAGATCACAGAAGGGCAGAGCCCTTCACATGCCTGACTATAGACTCCTTACTATCTTCTTCCTTCTGACTTTCAAGTGGATCTTTTGCTCTGAAATTTTATGACAGATTTTGGAGGTCCTGTGAATTAACTCAGGTTTAGGAATGACAAAGTAGGTCTCCCCTGTAGCACTTCCTTGATCAGGAAGTGCTAAGCAAACACGGAAGCTGGCACATAAATCCAGTGTTGATGGCAGACCTTCTTCTGCCTTACCCAGGGGACAGTCCCTGCCTGTGGAAGCTCCTGCCTCTACACACCCACGTTTGACCCCTACTCYCCCTTCTCTCCAGGCACACGTAGCCAGGAGCCTGGAGAGGTAGCACAGAATTTAGTTTTCAATAGCAAGCTGTGCCCTGTTCCTGAAATCCCAACACYGTGTGCCATGCAGTCCTCTCTTAAATTGCTGCCCAGAAAATCCAAGAAGTCTTTTCCAGAAACCAGACTTATTTTCTWTTTAAAATTTCAGCTCCCTTCTACCATCTTGCCTCCTAGTCTGTCAGGAAGCTTGGGAGGGCGGAAATTCTGAGTGGCCATCACTAGCAAACTAATCTCATTATTACCTTTCTAGACTTTCTGTCTTCCCCAAATCCYACAAGCTCTTTGGGTTACTTCTTTTCCTGTCAGATCAATWAAAAAAAAAAAAAAGATATTTTCAGCTTCTTGTACTTCACCATAAAAATAATCAGCCATCATAAAGAGTGTAATGGACTTCAGCAAGGGCTTCTTCCAGCCACACCAGCCTCTCCACCTCCCACAATCCTCCTGCTCTTGAGGCCGATTGGCTGGGTTGTGTGGGTGGAGCCAAAGAAGTCCCCCAATGAGCAGCTCCGTGGTCTGAAAGGGCAGGGAAACAGCCCAATGAGCATCACCGCAGAGGAGCCAATCAGCTAGATGTGGGGGACTTCTTTGGCTGTGGCTCTCAACATTCCAGAGTGTTTAAAGAGTGGACTGTCCCACAGAGCCTCAGAGGTCTCCCATGATGTGGCACAAATGAAAAGCTCTCTTAGCCTTTGGTAGACCCTCAGAGTGATCTGATGCGAGACTCTACCAAGGATTGAAGAGCTGAGAAAGGTGTGAAGAGAGAGTTTGCTGCTTTTTACCTGAAGTGTTTGGTTCTACCATAAATGTGACTGATATATTTATTTTTGAGGTGGGGGTAGCTGGGTAGAAACCTTGACTCCAGTGTTCCCTGCTAATGTGCTTTTTAAAATTGGTGACGCAAGGCCCATGTATGAGAATTCAGGCACAGTCCTTTGGAACTAATGACCTGCCTCAAACCCSGTGCTCTTCCTCAGACCCCAGAGCATGAGGGCCGGTACTATGAGTGTGACGTCTTGCCATTCATGGAAATCGGGTCTGTGGCTCACAAGTATTACCTCCTAAACATCCGGCTACCTGTGAATGAGAAGAAGAAAATCAACGTCGGGATTGGAGAGATAAAGGATATTCGGTTGGTGGTGAGTGAATGTAATTGATCCAACAGGTGGGGCACTAAAACACTGGCCAAGAACACCACCAATTCTTGTGTGTGTGTGTGTGTGTGTGTGTGTGTGTGTGTGTGAAGGGAACTCCATCTCACTCTTGGCATCTCTACACTGCACTTGTCTCTGTTGTCTCATCTGAGAAATGGGAATAATAGCATACCTGTAATGGCAGAGATCATGAAGTAAATTGATTTGTGTGAGAGATTACAGAAATGGAAAACAATGCAATTATTCTGCTCACTTAGGGTTTTAAGTGGGCTTCAGATCACTCAAGATCATTATAATGGTTATAAAATCAGGATGATATGATCGTGATTGCATATTGAACAACACCAAGATAAAAGCAAAAAAGAAAAAAAAATTAACATGTCTCATGTTGCAAGCCCAAGTGGTGTTTTAGGTTCTTTTCCAGTTTATGTGTTTAATCATGGAAATAGTAGCACCTGGAGCAAGGAGGACATTTTTTTAAAAAAACCCTAAAACTGTTATAAAAGAGATACATATCTAATGTAGAAATCAGAGTACAGGACACAGAMGTGCATAATAATCACCTATAATATCCCACCATCTGGAGAAATAATCACTATGAGGTTTTGATGTATTTCCTTCAAGGTTGTCTTGTCTACGTACACTCCCCCACTCACACACATAGAGCACATTTTATATAAATCCTTCCCTTGTAAAAGAGTGAGATCACACTTAACTGACTCTTGTTTCTTGCTTTTTTTCCTCTTCCTTTAATAGTATATTGTGAATATAGTATAAATCTACTTTGCAATACTGCTTAGCATTCCATTGCAGAGGTTTATCTGAATGCATTTTTATCAATCTCAACTTATTGGACATGTGGGATATCTCCAACATTTCAATGAAATGATTCTTAATCATTCCCTCAGCAGAGCGTGGCCCATTTTTATCCTTTTTAGTAGATAGTTCTACAATACTTGAGGAGGGGTCAGAGGGTTAGGAGGGCAGTACATGCTGTGAATATGAATACTTTTGATCTTGAACGTTCAGCAGAAAAACTTTCCACTCATCTGTCCCCAAAATGTATTTGATGGTAAAAAAAAAAGAGAGAGAGAAAGAGAGAGAGAGAACTAAGATATATTCACCTTTAAAATCGGTCTTGTCTAGGGAATCCACCAAAATGGAGGCTTCACCAAGGTGTGGTTCGCCATGAAGACCTTCCTGACGCCCAGCATCTTCATCATCATGGTGTGGTATTGGAGGAGGATCACCATGATGTCCAGACCCCCAGTGCTTCTGGAAAAGTAAGAGCTGAACACTTTTAAGGAACACTGGCTTCCCGAGATTTCCAGGCTGCAGTTCTCACTCAGGTCCCAGGTCAGGCAGCCGCTGTGGGGAGAGTGATTTGAACATTAGTCATCCCGGGCTCCATTTGCTCTTTCACGTTGCAAATGCAAAGTATTAAATCCTAAGGGCTCTACCTTTCTCACATTTCTGTCTTTGCTCTTCATTCCTGTGACCAGAATCAGATACCTCTCTCTTTCATGTGGAGGAGCTGCTAGGCTCCTATGCCGAACCCCTGTCCTCCACAGTAGTGTGATGCTCTTGCAGATGTATTCCTTTCTCTCTTCCATTTCCATTAATATAAAAACATGCTCTGCCATCTCCCATTCTTTGACAAAACTCTATCTTTCCCCACTTTCCTCTTAAGCCACCATACCATTTTTTGGCTCCTCTCTAAATCAGGAATCCTCAACTTTCTTGTCCATATATTGCTTCTACTTTTCTGGAATGAGCCCATTTCAGTCTGGATTTGTTCCCACCACTTCATGCAAACTGCTTTTCTTTGGATCATTAGTGATCACCATATTACAAATCCAAAGGTCATGCCACGTGCCGTGGTGCATGCCTGTCATCCCAGCAGCTCGGGGAGGCTGAGGCAGGGGGATCTTGAATTCAAAGTCAGCCTCAGGAATTTAGTGAGACCCTAAGCCACTCAGTGAGACCCTGTCTCTAAATAAAATATGTTTTTTAAAAAAGGTCCTGGGATGTGGCTCAGTGATTAAGTGCTCCTGAGTTTAATCCAAAAAAAAAAAAAAATCCAAATGTCATTTTTCAATCCTCACTGTCCTTGACTGATCACCAGCATTTGACATGGTGGATCACTCCCTTCACCCAGCCTCCTCCACCCTTCTCTTAGCTGCTGTGCTTTGTCAGCTGTCACCTGGTCTCCATTACTATTTCCTCCCATCTTTCCAAACTCTTGGACTCTTCCCTTCACTAGCTTCTTCCCCAGGTGATCTCATCTAATCTCATGGTCTTAAAATTCATCGACCCTCCGACTCTTCATTTATGTCTTCAACCTCAGAGTCTCTTGAAGGTAGACCCAAATATCCCAGGTATCGATTTAGCCATCTTCACTTACATTGAAGATGTAACATGTATGGAAGAACAACATTTGATTTCCTCCTATTTCAAACACGACTCTTCCCATTTTAGTAAATGGCAACTCAATTCTTTCAGTCCCTCAAGCAAAATGGGAGGAATCACCCTCTATTCTCTTTTATTTTTTTCACATTCCATATCAGCCCACTGGGAAACCTCACCATGTCTTCTACCACCATTGACATCGGACTAACCTACCATGACTTCACATCTGGATATTGGAAATCTCATTCTCGACTGCTCTCCTGGCTTCCAACCTTTTCCTCCCTATAATCTATTCACACAGCAACCTCAGGGCTCCCTTTTAAGTGTTAATCAGATCATATCACTCCTCTTCTCAAAGCTCTCCGCTGGCTTTTCATCTCCTTTGCCCTGGTTATAAACTCCTTAAAGTTCTGGTCTCTCACCACCTCTGATCTTACCACCTATTTTTTCTAGTCCTCTTGATGGTGCTCAAATATACCTGGCTTGATCTCACCCCAGGGCCTTTGCACTTACTGTTCCCTTTATCTGAATGAAATACCCTTCCCCAGGTATTTTTTTGGCTCAATTCCTTCTTTCCACATGCCCTGATCTGATGTTTCTCATCTTAGAGGCTTTCTCTTGTCTCCCTTATATAAAATCTCACCTTCATCACTTTCTGTTCTGTTATCTAGTTTTATTTTTCTTCATAATGCACATTTGTCGTTTACTTACATTCTTCTTCCCATATTCCCTGCTTCACCCCATCTGAATGCAAGTATCATGAGAGCTGGATCCTTGCTAATTTTTCTCACTACTATATTCTCAGTTCCCAGAGTAAAGACCGGAACATAGGAGGTTAATAAGATTGTATTGAATTAATGAATCATGTCACTCTGTTGTTGAAACTTTTGGTTGAGTTCCTGGCCTCTTCAAGATAAGTTTCCAAATCTCTAATGAGGTGTGCAAGTAGCTTCATGAGCTCATCCTTCTTTATTTCTCTGATCTCGGTGTCTAGTTATTGACTGAGATGGGCTATGTGGAGATCCTCGGATACTTCAGCTCCTCCAGGCCTCTGTTTCTCCACCCAGCTTCTGCCCCCGGCCTCACCTTTTCCACCTCCCTCATCTCAAATCACCGTTGACCCAATTTCGGTCTCTGCCTGAGAGACAAGTCCTGGCAACAGTTTTGACTCCTACCATGTTGCTTACCATACTCAGTTTCAGTTGCCTCTTTTTCTGGCTCCACCTCTGAATGCATCTCCATGAGTTTAAAAAAAAAAAAAGATTCTTATTCAATGTATCAGCAGCCCTAACACCATGCCCAGTCCATAATAACCATGTAGATATTTTGTGGGTATGAATAAAGTGTGAATAAATCAGTGACATAAGGATGACATTTTAATAGGGAAATGGAAGATAATAGAGTGATGGGGAAAGGCAAAATTAAGTCTAACCAAGCAGCCCAAATAATTTATGTCTCCTATGTGTCTGGGGTATTTATTATTGAAACAGATATGCTACATAATCCATCATTGCCGAGGAGATCACAATCCTGYGTGTTCTTAATGATCAGGGTAAATGATATCCCAAATAGGTAAGAGGAGTTAGTCGATGAGGCCCGTTCAAGAACACAAAGGGGTGAAAAACGTTATAGGAGACTCTTAACCTGGTGGGTAGTAAAATAAAGTGTGGGTGTTCAGGGATAGGTTCCGTTAGCTAGAGAGGCTGGGGTGGCCCTTTGGGCTCTCAGAGTGCCATTTAGGACATTTGCATCCAGTGTGGAGACTGGGGATGAGGAGTTGGGAAACCCATCCTATGGCTTCCATCCCAATGAGCAGCATTTTAGTTACTTTTATATAAAATCTTCTCAAAACTAGCTTCAGATTTTTTAAAATTGGCCTCCTCCATGAATAACCTGGCTTTTCCGACACTCTCTTGCCATCAGAGTCATCTTTGCCCTGGGGATTTCCATGACCTTCATCAATATCCCAGTGGAGTGGTTTTCCATTGGGTTTGACTGGACCTGGATGCTCTTGTTTGGTGACATCCGACAGGGCATCTTCTACGCCATGCTTCTCTCCTTCTGGATCATCTTCTGTGGCGAGCACATGATGGTAAGAGTGCCCCCCGCCCCCTGCCCCAGGAAGGGATAGACATCTATGCCATGGTGGCTTTGTGGGATCCTGAGTTGGCAGCCACCTCCCAGCCTCTGGTCCACTGTGACAGAATAAGGTAGCAGTTGCAGGTGGGAGCTGTAGAGTCCACCCTGTGGGTCACATTCCTGCTTCACCTTGTGACTGGCGAGTGGCCTTGGCAAGTCATGGAATCTCAGGTTCCCCTTCTATAAAATGGGATTTCAAGGCCTACTACTGCCTAGGTTTCTGTAAGAATTAAGTGGGATAATAGGAGTACCTTAGGAGGAGWACCTTAGGAGAAGAAGACATGCAGATTCTAAGATTAGTATTGTTTCTCATCCTCTGGCCCCAGCTGTGCTTGTCCTGTCCCCAGGAACAGATTAACCACTAAAGAATGTGGGCCTGACTTTCTCCAGCTGGCAGTTGGTCCAGGTGACCTAGTGACCCCTGTTACCCAGCAATACTGACCTCCTTGCACAGACGTCAAATCATATTTCAAGAGGGATTGAGGTACCGTGAATGAAAATAGGAATGGTGCCTTCCTTACCTTGTGGCTAAGGCATACATATGCCAGTTGGGACCCCCTCCTCGAGTCAGTACCCAGGTGTCCCTGTACAGGAGAGACTTTGAGGTTCCATTATGTTTTGATCATAAAAATCAACCCTCTGCAGCATGTTGCCCTTTGGGAGAGCAGTGTGAGAAGAGAGGGAGATCATTGTCCTGGCCAGACTCCACACAAGAGCTCACCCTGGGGGGCAGTGCTGGGTGCACTCTAGAATGAGCTGCTCTGGGGTAGATGCCCCCTCTGTGTCCCAGCRTGCAGACTGAGATATGTCTCGCCTTTCTCTATTTTTCTCATTCATCATTCCCCTCCCCCATTTTCTTTCTTTGAGTGTCTTGGTGTATCTGTCAAGAGAACTCATGCTTGGTGTTAATGAAGACAGAGAAAAAAAATATATCTAGTTTTCTAACCATAAGAGATCTCTTCCCTCAACCAATTCAATGCCTTTATGTTTTTCTTTTGTCCTCCAGGGAGTGCTCCTCCTTCGTAACACAGGTTTTTAGTCACAGAGGAATTTAATTCCAAGAGTCCTTTTGTTGGACCACAGAAGTTCCCCCTTGCCAGGGCCCGAGGCCTTTCTCTGTGCTCCCAGAGCACATGTTCTTTCTTATTACCACCAGAGCCCTCCTGGCTGGGCTGCGTAATGTCTGTCCCTGTGCCAGCCTCCCCAACAGAAGCAAGGCCCTGCAGAACACAGGTTTTGATTCTCCAATGCCTAAGCCCTAGTGAGGCTCTGGATGGCATAACAGGTGGTCAGCAAGACTGTCCTGAAAGACTGGCTCACCTGTAGAATGGCTTTGCTCTCCTTCAGTCTTCATCTCCTTTCTTAATTTGCTTTCCCTCAGGATCAGCATGAGCGGAATCACATTGCAGGGTATTGGAAGCAAGTTGGACCAATCGCCGTTGGCTCTTTCTGCCTCTTCATATTTGACATGTGTGAGAGGTGAGTAGGTACCTGTGGGACTCAGCTGAATGTGCATCCCTGTGACCACCTCCATCTTTAGGAGGAGTGTTTGAAAGGGAGAAGGGTGGTGAGGAGCCTCTGGGGTGAAAGCATTGTACATATTCACATCCCCAGAGAAAGACTGGGACTAGAGCCAGACTTGGTGGCACAAGCCTGTAATTCCAGCAGCCCAGGAGACTGAGGCAGGAGGCTCATGAGTTCAAAGCCAGCTTCAGCAACTTAGCAAGGGCCTCAGCAACTCAGCAAGACCCTGTCTAAAAGGGCTAAGAATGTGGCTCAGTATTTAAGTGCCCCTGGGTGGTACCAAATCCCTAGTATCCCCCCACCAAACAAAGCACTGGGACTAAGTCACAGGTTTAGAGTTACAAAATATTTGCGCTGATTATATTCTGCTAGACTGTTTCACTTTAAGCTCTCTATGAGGTTTCTAAGTCTGAATTCAGCTCCTTCCCTTCCAGCTGCAAAACTACAAAGAGTTCCACCTTGCCTTTGTATTAATTGTCTTGCCTTTCCACCTCGTTTTTTGTTTTTGTTTTGTAGAGGAGTACAACTCACGAATCCCTTCTACAGTATCTGGACTACAGATGTTGGAACAGAGCTGGCTGTATCCTTCCTTGATGGGCTCAGGGTTTTATTTCTTCCCACAGCCGCCTGGTCCCCAAGATCATTTTCCAAGGCTCAGTTGATGCTCTGCATATGTGCTTGGCCAGAGCTTTGATCCCCAGACCAATGATAACAGCACAATTAAGGCAAATAATGAGAAGAATTACTGCTTGCTTTCAAGCCCGGCAAGAGCAGGCCAAGGGAGAAGGTTGTTCCTGTCCCCATGGCAAAGGGATCAGAGTGGCAGGTCTTACTGCAGCCTGTCTAAATTATCTATTATTCACTGTTTACTGCAGACTGAAGCGTGACTCGCTTTTCCCTGGAGCCACAGAGGTTCATCTATGGGCCCCTGTGGGAGAGCTAGTTTCTGAAGTCGCTTGTGTGCAAGGCTTCTGACAGTGACCTTGGTGTGCTGGCACACCATGCTGCTGCTCTTTATTTCTGAGACGGAATGGAGATAAGGCTAAGGTGATTAGTTCCAGAAGAGTGCTGAGGCTTCTGGTTGGTTCACTTAAACTGTCTGAGTCATCTTCGTGAAGCAGAAGTGACAGTCTTAGCTTATCCCTTTAAGGATGCTGGATTTAAATATTTTATCTCCTGAATAATAATATGTTTAGTGCTCTGAAAGAAAAAAAAAAAGATTCTCCTCTGGAGTGGGGAGAAAGGCTGGGATTGTACCCTTTATTGATGGGTAATATTTTGCCACATTCCCATTAATGTGCTTTGTCTGGCAACTGTACAGATTGGGAACTGTGCTACACCTCTGGTTTGACCTGAGGACTTCCGTTCTACTGAAGTTCAGTTCTACTCCCGGGGCCTTTTAGTGTCACAAGGATTTTGTGAACAAACTGAATTGGTAGTATCATTACCTTAGGGATGGGGTAATGATACTAATGAGCTCTAACCTTCCATCACCATCCTTGTCACCAAAAAATGTTATCTGCATGATGTGCAGAACAGTTATAATGTCCTCTAGTGTAACCTTTTTATTTTGATAAGATGAAAGTTTAGGAAAGTAAATAAGAATTCGAGTCTTGTAGCAAATAACTACAACCCCTTTATTCCAGGGTCTTACGGTCATAGGAAAGGAGAATCTGCATTGTGTACCATTTCGTGAAATATGAATGCTGAGTTCATGCTTGTTAAATTGTTGAAAATTAGTGGCAGCTTGAGAGTGCARTAGAGAGGAGCTGGAGTCAGGTCACCCATCTTCCAAGCCAGCTCATGCAGCCCCAGGCCTTGGTGGTCCTCAGGTTGCCTGTAATGGAAGGTCTCAATCTCTCCAATGGGTCTCAAAGTATATTGTCCCCATTCCCAACCTTCACYACCTGTCCTTCAGTTTCATCCCATTTGAGAAGGTTTTCTGTGGTGACAGAAGATTGTGAACTGGACTACTCCTCTGGTTTGACCTCAGGACTTCAGTCCCACTCCCGGGGCCCTGGCAGCCATTGCTGCTGTACCTGCCCTTACTTGTTCCCTCCCCTCTGTTGTAGGACACCTCAGTCTCACTCTTAGAAGCCCAAGGACAGCCCAGGGGCTTCGAAACATGCTCACACTTGGTTTCCTAGCTGGGAAGTCGGAGTCTAGCATACAACCAGTGTGGGACCTGGGCATCTTCATTTGACCTTGTACAGTGCTTTTAATATGCCTTTTCACCTGATTAGTGTGTAGTAACTAATACTAACTATTAGGGTTTTTCCAAATCATGATGCATTAGTATTTCCTGGAGAACTGGTTGAAAGGCAGGTTCTGATTCAGTAGGTCTACATTAGACTCTACATTTTTAATAAACAGGGCACACCTTCTCTTATGACTTGGCTTAGAAAACCATCTGAACACTCCCCTCTCTGAAGCTGTTGTGTCAGAAAACCTCGGTATCACTCATTAGAATGCCAGATTTTAATATTTTTATTCCCCTTAAAATATCCTAAATTCCCAGAAATAAAATGAGGATCACCCACAGACCAGGGGGCAGTGCTTGTGCCCCCTGAGTGTGAGGAACCTGCTGTTTCCTTTACTGGACACCTTCAGATGGCCTTCATCATTGTGGCTGGGATCTGCCTCTGCCTCTACTTCCTGTTTCTGTGCTTCATGGTATTTCAGGTGTTCCGGAACATCAGTGGGAAGCAGTCCAGTCTGCCAGCCATGAGCAAGGTCCGGCGGCTACACTATGAGGTGAGCGGCTCTCTCTTGGCTTCTTCAGGACCTGGTACTCTGTTCTCTGCTCATCATCATCTCTGCTTGATGCATAAATACACAGCCCTGGAGGGTGAAAGGCTTCACTCTGCAGTACACACTGAGATTCTCATGTAGGAGCTCAAGACAAATGTTGCTCTGAGGTAAATGTACTATGAGAGACACCTGACCAGCTATCTAGATCTTGAAGGTATTCATGGTATGAATATGTTCCTTCCTCAATAAGGTGTACACTTGTTTGACAGGTTCTTCAACTTTGGATGGAATGTAGGTGCACACTAAATGGGAAAGTGAGCTGTCATTAAATGGGGATTTGGCTTGGAGTGAGACTTTCCCTTGCCCAGAATTAAACTTAAAATAGGTTCAGCCCAAGTGATCTGCTTCCCAGACTCTCAGAATCCACATTCCCCTAAAATATCCAGCAGATGCTCAGAAAGAGTTCAATAATCTGTTTATAGATTATATTCCTCATTTGAGAGAAATGCTTAACATCCTCAAATGTCTAATGCAGGCCTTCTTGATTTTTCAAGGACACTGTGGGTTCATGCCTAAGTGGCCGGAGATACAGGCCTAATGCCTCTGTGAAGGAGGCACAGAAACCACAGAATCCCTAGGCTTACTTGTGTAGTGGATCTGCACCTAAGAGCCCCTGATTAATAGGCATCTCTCTTCCTGAAACACAAGTTCCCCCAAATCCTGCTCTCAGGAAACCATGGGTACTGTCTGAGGCTTTGCCTGTCTCCAGAGTTGTAGTGACATGTGAGGAAATTCAACCAAATCCACTTCATGTTGATTAATATGCATATTTCTTTTTGTTCACTGGAGCAGAATTTTATTACAGCCACAGAAAACTTGAACTTGGTAACTTTGAACCCTTGCAGAGAAGCATAACCAGCTTAGCAGGAAAATTAGCAGCCTCATGACGTGCTGTAAATATAACTTCTCAGGCTCTGTTGTCACTGTCTCATGAAAGATAACAACATAGGAAGTGTTTGGCCCAAGAAATTTCTCAGCCACATTCACCTTGGCACGAGAAATATTAATATGTGAAATTATTTTACTGTTGTTGTTAGGGATTTGATTTACAGTGTTCTTTTTTCTTCCTTTCTTTCTTCCTTTCTTTCTTTCTTTCTTTCTTTCTTTCTTTCTTTCTTTCTTTCTTTCTTTCTTTTTTCTTTCTTTCTTTCTTTCTTTTTTCAGCACTAGGGATTGAATTTGGGAGTGCTATACCACTGAGCTATATCCCGACACTTTTCATTTTTATTTTGTAACAGGGCTTCCCTAAGTTATATGGGAAGGTCTTGAATTTACAATCCTCCTGCCTCAGCTTCCCAAGTCACTAGGATTACCAGTGTGTACCACTGTGGCCAGCTTTACAGAGTTTTTAAAAATAGCTTTTCTTAGCTGGACRTGGTGGTACATGCCTTTAATCCCAGTGCTTCAGGAAGCTGAGGCAGGGGGAATCACGAGTTCAAAGCCAGCCTCAGCAACTTAGTGAGGCCCTAAGCAACTTAGCAAGACCCTGTCTCAAAATATAAAAAGGGCTGGGAATATGGCTCAATGGTTGAGTGCCCCGGATTCAATCCCCAATATCAATAAAAAAGCTTTTYTTGGATTTATATATTGAGAAAAGGATTGATGAGATAGTAAACCTCTCTTACTCTTTTTTCTAACAGGGGCTAATTTTTAGGTTCAAGTTCCTCATGCTCATCACTTTGGCCTGTGCTGCCATGACTGTTATCTTCTTCATTGTTAGTCAGGTAAGTGGACCCTGAGATGTTCCCGGAGAATGTCCTCTATACTGCACAGAAAGTTCTAGAGCTGCTGAAGAAAGCAGCAGAGTCTATCATTCTGACCAGCTGATCAAGCCTTGTTTATTTGGACCACTCTAGTCTGGGACTTGTTATCCATCCCCTAGCCATATGAACTGAATGATCCTTTTAATATGACCTTGCAGGAGCTAAAAGATGCTAAGTAAATTGAATGCCTGCACCAGATTGAAGGGCCCATGTTTCATTTACTTAGGAGAATAAACTTTTCAAGCCCCGCAGCACAACGCTAACAAGCAAGTATTAATTTGATTGCATCCTTATGTAACATTAACATAGATCCTTTTACAATCTGTCAGCCATTCCGTAATTATAGTGCCAGTTCTACGTGAAATGTTATTCAAAAGTCCCCTTGCTAGAACCCTATCTTTTCACTGGTTATTTCCCAAACACAAAATTTTGCTGTACTTGAAAATTTCAATAATGATGGTAACTTTAGAATATTGGTGGTGACTTGCTTTGGAAGGTGGAAAGTACTATTTAAGTGAAACTATATTTATTTGAGCTTCAGAAAAACTCTTTGAGGTAATTAGGGTAGGAACTATTATCCCGGTTTTCCAGAATATGAAGTCAAAGAGCTTTAGAGACATTTCCCATTTATTCTGTTTTCCAACTAGGTGGAAATGTGGGTTAACAGTTCTGGGGTTTAATTTATCTTATTAAACAATAGAACCACCCACAGAAGGTTGCTGTAAGGATCACAGGAAGTAACATTGCCAAGTGATTAGCAGAGCCCCTGGCACATCCTAAGCAAGCATGAATAGCTGCCCACCAGTGAATGGCAGGAAGGCTGACTTGCCGAAGTACATGCAAGTCAGGGRGCACAACTTGGTCCTTCTGATTCTTTTGCTAGAGCCATGTCATTCCTATGTTGGGGCAATAGAAAGAAATTTGGTGTGACAGGAATGAGACTGACTCCATTCTGCTATCAAGTTTCTTCTAGTATAGGAACTCCAAATGGACTCCCATAGCAACCTGGTGAAGGCTATGAGTCTCTCAAAATGCTTCTAAATGAGTTTAAAGAGAAAATTGGATTTCAAAGGAAATTTCATATAAATATACATTCCCTTTGAAATCCAAAATGTTTATATCCTATGATTATGCATATTACAGATCTGTATCTTCAAAAAGTCTAAATAATATGACAATATCATGATTTCTATTGATGATTCATAGGTAGTGCTAATACCATATGGGTTTGTTGACTACATTTGTAATTGAAGGAAATGCTTTCATTGACAGACTGGTGAAAATAGAGAATTTGGGGGGTTGTGGGGCAGGTACCAGGGATTGAACTCAGGGACATTCAACCACTGGGCCATATCCCCAGCCTTATTTTGTATTTTATTTAGACACAGGGTCTCATTGAGTTGCTTAGCACCTCACAGTTGCTGGGCTGGCTTTGAACTCATGAACTCCTCCTGCCTCAGCCTCCCAAGCCACTGGGATTACAGGTGTGCACCACCCCATCCAGCTGGGAATTTTTTCTTATCACAGTTCTTGGGCCCCTTGAATTCCATCCAAGGAAACCCCACATTAGGAGCCTCAGCATCCTGTTGGCTATGACTGCTGGGAGATGTTAGTGTTGCTGGCTCTGCTAAAGTCTAAAGTACATGTGGCTTAAAATAAAACAATAAGCTAAATACAAGTGATGCACTATGATCCCAGCGRCTTGGGAGGTAAGGCAGGAGGATCACAAGTTCAAAACCAGCCTCAGCAACTTAGTGAGGCCCTAAGCAACTTAGTGAGATCCTGTCTCAAAATAAAAATAAATAAATGAATAAAAAGCATTGGTAATGTGACTCAGGGTTCAATCTCTGCTACCAAAAATAAAATAACCTGTATGTCCTCATATGTTCCGTTCACCCCATCTGCTTTGACCTGCAGCAATGTGCTATGTTTGTATCCAAGCGATTGTGTATAAAAATTTGGAAATTTTGCTCTCCAGTCTGAATGCAGTAAAACTATTTCCAAGTCTGAATGAGTTTTTTATTCAACCAGCTCAAACACCCAAAGTCAAGTCAGAGTGTCTGAGGCCTGAGTCCTCCTTTGGCCAGTTCCCTCATGTGATCAAACGGTTTCTGATTCCTCTAGTCCCTCAATGTGGGCTGTGACAACCGGCCAGGACCACCAGGCTGAGAGAGGGGAAGAAGAATTGCCAGTTCAGTGGTCTAAGGAATGAAGGGCACTTTCTACTCTCTGCTCCCATGAAGGCAGAAAGGAAGGGCACTTCAGTCCTGATGCATGCTCCTGCCACTTTAGAAACCTGGAGTCCTTCTCCCCACCCCCACATCTCAYCATTGTCTCTGCAGAGTTCCTTCTACCTGAAGTGAAGAGGGAACTAATCCTTAAATTGTTTGCATGTTGCCAGACTTTAACCTTGTACATGTTTAATTAGTGTACTTTTTAAAGCAKCGGAGGCCATCTTCCAAGGAGCCTAGTTTGTGGCTTTTCTGTGGAGAAAAAGATTAATATTCCATTGCCCCAGTATCCGGCTCCAGCCTGTGGCAGGCTTTTTATATCTACTGTGATAGTTGGCCCRGAGTGGATTTCAACTCTGAGGGGGTAGCAATGAGGCCTTTTGAATTCCATTAGCTCCTCACATTCCTCCTGCTGGGTTTTTTTTTTTTTTTAAGGTTTATTTATAGACATCTAAGACGTTTTCCAGCATAACTCTCGGTGTCCCAGGTACTGTATTAATATAGTCATCAGAGGATTTATTTTCTAATGTCATTTTGGAATGTCAGAGCAATGAGCTCACCTGAAAGAAAACCTATTGGGTAACTTTTTGAAATGGATCCCAGCCCTAGGTAAAAGGAATGTTTTAAAACCCCCATTATACTCTCAGGCTTGCTGGGAGAGCTTGCATTTAAGCCCCCTGAAATATAATGCGAGGGGATCTCGCCAGGATATTGAAGCTCTGAGGCTGGGAATGAAAGACTCACGGGAAGCTGTGGAATGCGGTGACCTTGAGGCTTTGTAGCTGGGGACTGAGGTGCAGTCTTTTAATGCCTGCCATTTTAATGGCCTCAGTCATAGCAACCAAGAGATGGTACATCGCAGTCTGGTCTTTTGGCCCCTTCCCTCTAGAAAAAAAAAAAAAAAAAGAGGCGTTCCATTCAGAGGTGGTGGCAGTAGGGAACAGAAGTGCAATGCAAGGGAGAGGGTCACTGGCCTTCACTGAGGGGACCCCCAGGTGCCTGACATTCAGGTCAAGCCACATGCGGCAAACTCCCAGAGAGCCTGTCTCCATCTCTTTTGTGTGTATGTGTGATCACTTCATTCTGTGACTTAGAGAGGAGACGTTTCCGGTAAGAGAGCCAGTGTCTGGGATTTGGAAATCTTGTTAAGTGGAATGTTGGTTGTCAAGACTACTGGGTGTAAAGGATTTGACCTTCACTTGGCTCCAGGGGTATAATTGGGTGGTTTCACACAAAAGTAAATTGTTGAGATGTAAAATCAGGAAAAACAGGAACTTTTAGAAATAAGACTTATACAGAAGGGGATGTAATTAAAAATAATAATAATAATTTGGGCTAGCTGATTTTTCTCTSTAAAAGGGAGAGGAATATTAGTAATATTTGGGTCTACAAAACTTGCCCTGGTATGGCTGCTAATTGTGGTTCATACCCATGGGAACGTGCTCAGAGCTCAATATGTCTCAGGCATGAGTAACTCAGAGAAAACAGAAGAAGACAACACATTCCAGTCTCTAAGCAGTGGAGGTGCACTATCTCGACAGTTCATTTTTTCAGTTCAGCCTTTTTCCATGGCCAGAAATAATGTATTTACAGATTACAAACTCAGCAGATTGGTGAATCTCCAACTGCATCCTAAACAATGTACATGTCCTAGAGGAAACATGAGACGGGGACATGAATATGCTGTCTCCTCAGTCAGACTAAGTAAGCTCCTGTGTGCCCTCATAGTATGAGCATCCATTCTGTGGTTCTAAGGTAAAATGATATTTTGTATATATATCCAGTTTATCATATACATTACTGATCTAGAATATAGTGATATATGCTACTATACAAATTTGAATCTACAAACCTATGTGAGTGTGTGTGTGTGCATGTGTGCGTGAGGATACACACACACACAAAGAACAGCAAAGTGAATTTCCAAAAGAAACTTGGCCTTACACAGTAGTGGATGCCTTCAGAGACTGAACCCATTTACAAGAGTATTCTTATCCTTGTATCACATGATGGTTAAGACCACCTTATTCTGGAGTCAGACGCATGATCTGTAGCTCGGTAGTCTTGAGTAGGATACTACCTACACCTCTCTGTACCATAGTTTACCCCTGTGTTGAGTAGAAACATTTCCTACCCATTTCACAGAGTTGCATTCAGACTCAATGATACTTCTGTGTTAACATGCTTGATATAGTGCCTGGGATGGCATGAATATTTAATATATTTAATACATAAGCATTTAAAGAATCACCTTTGCTCTATCTGTGTTAACCACTTGTTTTAAGTGATAATAAAGGAGTATGACCGAGAGGGATACTTAAATTAATTCACACTTGTTACCCCTCTTCATCTCCTCTCACACTGAAATGCAGTTATTGTGATTTACTGCAGACTGTAATATTTTCTTTTTACTTTTTGGTCAGGAGATTCTTGAGTGGCTGTTTCTACCTCCACTTTCTGCTTCCATGTGGTTGCCCTGGTGTCCTAGCACATCCCTGTACTTCTACCCCTATTCATTTAGCAAACATCGGTTGAGCATCACTGAGTATGAGGCATGCAAGTTGGAGCTTCCAAAGATGAAGTCAGTCATGCTGATCCTAGCAGGAATTAATTCCATTAAAGTTGTCAGTACTGGGTGTTCCCAACTCGTAACACAGGATATAGGCTCTCTTACAGGCCCTTCCTCTTGCAGAAGGGCTCACTGTTCTAACAGAGTAGGAAAACAACCATATCCCATCTTGCTTATAGCTCCTTCCGCCTGGCCTCTCCTTAACCCTGTGAAGGGGAGTTCTCTCTGCTAGCACAGTGTGTCCATGTATTTCCAGGAAATATCTTAAARCTTCCTTTCCTCTTTCATTATAAGCATTAAAAATCATCATAAGATGATCTAAGTACTATAGGTTTTAGTAAATTAGGATATTTTGGACTTAAATGTAAGAGGAGTGACATTCGGAGATCTTTCTAAGAGGTCTTAAGTAATTTCAATGCTGATATATGACCTAAAATCAGAAATGGTGATAAAATCCCTCTTTGTCTAAAACTACTCCTGAATATTTTATATATAGTGAATTATTTTCCAAAATAAAGAAGACCTCATTGTATTGGTTTGTTTATGGGTCATAAAAATGAACATTTATGTTATGTATCATGAAGGCCAAACTAAAGTCTATAGTTGGGTAAACCAGCAAGCAAACCAGAGCTGTTTCCTGGTTCCCTGACGCTCCAGGTCTTTAAAAGGTAAAGCCTGTGCTTAACACTTCACCAGGCCGACAGCCCCAGTGGGTCACAGGGAACATAGACAGCATTGCAGGAAGCCTGCTCATTGTATCATAAATAGGAGGTGAGATCAACCTGTTTGTTCAAGTCATTAACATTTAGATCCAGCTCACCATCTTACAGTTTACAAGTGACTTCTAGAGAAGGTTTTCATAACTCAAGCTCATTAAACTATCACAGCAACATTTATCCAGTACTTTCTTTTATTCCCATTTACAAGTCCTGTAGCAAGGAGAAGCAGTCAAAATCATTTCAGTGATCTTAAGAGCTGGTACAAATTATTAGTCACTCAGCTCAGTGGCTCTGTTGACAGTTCCTAGTGTAATCCATATGTCTTCAGGCCACCCTTAAAACAATTACCAAGTCATTAACACAGACAAAAGCAGCTTCAAAACATCTCTTGCAGAATTGCAAAGCATATGAAGGCCTCATAATTACCTTTGTGGGTGACTTACCTAGAGTGACATTTTATACATAAATAAGACATTGCTTATTGTCTGCCAGGCAATTTCTAGAAGTATTTTTACTTAATTCTCCCCCATGACCTTTCAGGTTTTTATTTTACACTTAAGGAAACTAAAGCTCAGAGCTTTCGTCTCTCTCTTGTCTTATTAAATAGTGAGTGGTATGGCCTGGATGTGGATTGACCTGGGTTCATTGCACACCTGTGGTACTTTGGGCACTGAGGATAGGCAGCAAGCAAACCAGAGTTGGTACGTGCCTGCAGGGAGTTTACATCTAGCTGGGAAGTCCACAGAGAAGGAATTATGATTGTGGATAGGGGTTAGGCTCAGACACAGGCTCTTTAACTAAGAGATTACAATAGATGGCTGTTGGCAGGAAGGGACACTCCCCAGGTGATGCTAACATGACTCCAAGGGAAAAAAACCACTGACATTGTGCCTGACGCATAGTAAGCCCTCAGTTTTCACTGGTATGATTCACATTGAAACAGGGGGRTTTACATGGCATTTGACTTTTTCCATATGTGAAAGAGTCCTGGTTTTTGTGTTGATTGGTTTCTGGATTGGTGTGATTTTTTTTTTTCCTTTGTTCCAAGAGAATGTCATTTTCCTTTTCCACAGGTGACTGAAGGCCATTGGAAATGGGGCGGTGTCACAGTCCAAGTGAGCAGTGCCTTTTTCACAGGCATCTATGGAATGTGGAACCTCTATGTCTTTGCTTTGATGTTCCTGTATGCACCGTCCCATAAGAACTATGGGGAAGACCAATCCAATGGTGAGTCCTGGCCTCCTTAGCACAGCTTCATTCAGGATAAGCCAGCTTCTGTCTCTACAGGATTTAAATGGCTAAAGCTCTGGGTTCATCACCTTCCTCCAAGTGTACCCCTAATCCTGAGATACAGTGAAGGCACACCCCAAGGAACTCTAGACACATAAAACAAAAGCCAGCACAAGTCAGATAGTTCTTCAGGTCCTCATTTCTTAATGTCTAAAATGCATTGAGAATATTTCATTCTATTCTAAAATATGTCCCAGTTTAATACAAAAAAATCAAATTTGCTTTCCTCAATTTTTTTTGAGCAAAATTAACTGTTGGAAATAATCTTTACATTTTTTCTTCCAACATGRAAAGATCCTAAAATATAAGGTAGAGGAAGTCTGGGCCCTGAGAGTGGAAGATGGAATGGGCTTATTTTTCCCACTCAGTTTTCTTCAAGGTTTATGGGATTTGTTTCTCTCTCTTTCTCTCTTCCTGGCTCCTTTTTTTTCCCTTGTTGTCATACTAGGGATTTAACCCAAGGCCTTGCACATTCTAGGCAAGTGCTCCACCACTGAGCTATACCTCCAGCCCTTCAAGACTGTTTTTTTGACAAATGTTCAAACCAGTGGCCCTTCTCCTGTCTCCAGAACTTTGCTGTCTTTCAGTGCTGCTGTGTGTTATCTTTTCCTATCTTATAATCACAGAACCTGGATATGATGATAGTAAAGGAACCTTAGAGTATTTAGCCTCTCTGATCATTTTAGAGATGAAGAAACTAAAAACCAGAAGAGAAGCACTTGTCAGGAATTTCTCAGCTGGCCATGGCAGTGAATAGGGATTATTGCTGCCTAGGCCAGTGCTGTTAACCTAGGATAGGTGACCTGGTAATAACTGATTTAACAGATCCTTTGCTGTTTAGCTCCAACTTTATTCCTTCTTCTCTTTTATCTTCATTCTTCTGTTTTACCTTAGCTACGTATTTGCTGTTCCCCAAACATAAGGTGAACTTTCTCAAATGCACTAGTGAGTGTAACTCTGTCTTGGTGCAGAATACAAGGTAGCAGCAGCCCCTCAGTACTGAGGGTTGACCTCACTTTTAGGAATCAGGCCTTCATCTGGGCCTGATGAAACCCCTACCCATCTTTTGGGCCCAGCCAAAATGCTGCCTTCACTTTGAAACCTCCTAATCACTCCAATTAGAATTCATCAAGTTACACTGAATAGAGTTACGTTGTTACATGGGATGTTGGTGTGTTTAAGAAACCTACCAGCAGTTAGGTTAAACAGCTTTAATGAGGTTTTCACTGCAAGTCATCTGAATGCCTTTAGTACATTAATTTGTAATATAAGTCTTTTTAGACAAGGTGGGGGTAACAGCATTTCTTTCAACTATTAAATCACTTGTTCCTGGAGCCCTTTCTCCTGACAGGATGTCACTTGGTACCAGCATCCTGAGAAACAAGCCTGTGGAGCATGGGTCCAGTTTTAACTGGGTGGACGTGAGATGAATTTATCTGGTCTTTTTTGCTCCCCTGCTGCAGTGTTTACTCCTAAAGGGCAGTAGAGATGGTTCTTAAAGATGCTTTAGACATGTTGAATGAAGTGATATTTTAGAAGCAAGAGTTCTAGATCAGCCTTTATTTTTCACACATGGGCCCATGATCTTGAGAATGAGAGAAAGGAAAAGAGGATAATGACATATAGATAGAAACAAAAAGGATGACAGAGAAGAGGGCCTCTGTTCTGGGGCCCAGGGTAGTGGAGCAGCCTTAGCTACCATCTSTCTTTGTACTCTTCTGGCCACTTCCAGGTGACAGCATCCTGGACATGAGATTTCTCTTCCTTTCTACACCTTCACCAATTTAGAGTCAAGACTACTTGTTACCATTTTAGTCCCATCTCTGGCTATAAATCCTGAGTGAGAGTAAAGGCTTCACTTCTCTACCCACGGTTCTGCTCTCAGTTTGACCAACTGCCTTTCTAGAAGGTTTGCAAGCTAGACAGCCATCAGCTTCCATTCCAGTGCTAGTACTCAGTGCTTTTACCTTGTGCATGGGAAGTGGGGGTGTGTAGCCTCTGGAACATGGACCTTCAACATGACAGCAGGAAGAGATTCTGGGCTTGCAGACAAGAACCTTCATTTCATTTCACAGTCATCCTGTCAGACTTTGGCAAACCACATGGCCTGGCCTTGCCTGAAGTAGACGAAGTTCTTGTCTTCCAGGGAAACTCCACATAAAGCAGTGCCTGCACTTCCTGGATGGTGTCCTAGCACTCATGGGTTGCAGGGGTTGAGTACTAACTGTGTGCTGCCGCTCTCTATGCACATGAACCCTTCTCCTGGTTGTTTTTATTGTGTGATCCCTGGCAAACCTCTTAACCCTCTGTGCACCACTTCTCCCAACAGTAAGTGGTCTCTCTTAAGTCCTTCTGAACTGTGGCATTCAATGCCTCTCTTTCTTCATGATAGCAAAGAAGGGGCATGGGGGCACTTTCTTCACTGAGTGACAACCCAGGGCATGATATCTGTCACAAGTAAGGAGTATCCAAATGCTGGCAAGAATGCCTGGCTCCAGCTTGGTTAGGCTGATGGCCCTGCCAAGCCAGGGATTTTAGGTGGATCCCATCAGACCCCTCACCCTTCACAACAGCCCACTTACGCTCTAAAGCTCACAACTGAGAATCAGAAACTCCATCTTTTCCTCATCAAGATTTTTTGTTGAAGACAGCTTGAGCTATTATTTCCAAGAAAGCTCAAAAACTAGTTCTCAACAGGAGGCCGTATCCCTGGATTCCTTCACTGATGGGAGTTTGGAAGTATTTGTGGTTGCTTTGGATTGTCACTATGATTGGAATGTGCCACTGGCACTTAGTGTCCACATTCTAGAGATGCTAAATGTCCCGCAATGAAAGAAATAGGTTCTTGCAAGAAAGAATTGTCTTACCTCAAATGCCAGCAGAGCCCCAGGGGGAAAAACATTCTTCCAGTATTTTGGTGGTTAGACTGCTTTGGTACTCCATGCTGATCACAAACACAAAAGCCATGTGCTTTCGCAGTTTTCCAGTGGTAGATTCACAGCTTGAGCCCTTGTAGCTTGTACCCTGTGCTTTCTGATGTGGTACCATGACCTCATGTAGTCAGAAGGGTCTCTTCCATGTCAGGCTCTCTGAACACTTTCCTTCTCTGCTCTTCTTCCCTTTTTTACCTCTTCATCTGCCACAAGGATACACAGTGTGTCTAAGAATTATGGAGCATTAGCCAAGATTCTGAAGCTCCTTGGAAATATTTGGGAATATTCCATGGAAACCTAAACATGAACCCTCAAGAGGATATGCTGCATTTTAAAATCCCCTGGGTGTCTGGATGGTATTTTCTCACTCCCCCAACCTTCCCATGCTCCCTTTTAATTAGCTTGGGCTTCCCCCGACCCCTACCCCCCACTGCACTTACTTCTAAGGCCCAGAGCCAAGAATTCAGATCTCTTCTATGGAGAGTGAATCCCAGGCATGTGGTGCTTCTTTTCTTCATGAGATGGGTCCTAGATGAATCGCTAGGGAGAAAACCCATTTCCAGGAACTTGACAAACAGTTTCTGATGCCAAAGGGTATATAAAAGGGAAAGAACTATAGAGGAGTGTTCTTTTGTTTAGGGGGATGGAGAGATGCCAAGAAACATGAGGAGATGGGTTGGAAAGGAATAGATGTTTGCTTCTTCCTTTGGTCATGGAATGCACAGAGAAGAACAAAATGGGCAGCAGTTTCAATTGAGGGTCACTTTCCAGAGAGCCCTTCCCCTCATGAGTTTCTGTTTCTCTTTCACTGCCCGGATCAGAGAGTGACCCTTCACAAATGAACTACCAAGCATCACAGTACTTAGCACTGTGCTATGTTGGATGAGATAGAGGGATAGGGTGGGCCCTTACTATCAGGGAGACATTATCCTGATCTGGGGACAAGGTATCCTCACCTACATGTTGAAATACAGGACCTGGCAGGACAGCTGCAAGCCAGTGTGCTCACTCCAGATAGTTACTGCAGGTTTGGGGGGCTCCTCCTGTTGCCTGATTTCCCAGAGCAACAGCAGTAGTGCAACACATTCACATGAATTGTTGAACATAGACTCTCTCTCTCTCTCTCTCTCTCTCTCTCTCTCTCTCTCTCACACACACACACACACACACACACACACACACACACACACACATTTACCTGGCCCTCTGTGTCCTGGAGTCCCACATTTTCAGATTTAGCCAACCACAGATTAGATATACCCTTTAAAAAAAAAGCATCTGTACTAAACATGTACAGACTTCTTTTTCTGGTCATTCCTTTTTAAACAATAGAGTATAACAACTCTTTAGCATGACATTTACATTGTATGAGGTATTATAAATAATCTAGAGCTGATATAAAGTATTCAGGGGGGATTTCATGCAAAGACTATGGCATTTTATATGAAGGACTTCAGTATTTACAGATTTGGGTAACCTTAGGAGGTTCCAGAACTAACCCTCTATGGATACCAAGGGACACCTGTATGTGTATAATGATCTTGTGTGGACATGTATGTGCATCTTTATGTCACACACACACACACACACACACACACACACACATACACCGTTTTAAAAAATGCAATGATGATATTCTGGTTCTCTTTCCTTCGAGGAGCATTTACATTTTTCCCCCTGCTGCTGACTTTCATTAAAGCTGTTCTTTTTACTTGTTGCCATAACCATTTATGAATCATTCTGGATATCTTCGCAGGCAGAAATGAACTGCAGAGGGCTAATGTTGACCCCTTTCTTGGGGCAAAAGCACCATCCCCAAGGGGTACAACAGCAATGCCCTGTACTCATGAAAAACTGTTTAACTCAGTAGGTCACTAATCCCTGTGGGGGAAAAAAATAAAGTAAGAGCAGGTCATGCAGTCAGAAATTTCTGGATTGTAGCTTTGGTTTTTGTGTTCTTTTGCCTACACAATTCTTGACAAGAATGTTTTGGAAGAATTATGG